ATAATGATAAGAAAAAGAAGACAATTCATACTAATGATAAAACGAATAATGCGAATAACAATAATATTAATAATGGTAATACGTTGTTTTATCAACAATAATAATATTATCATTAGTAATAATAAGAGTTATGAAAGTATTAAGAATACTATTATCGATAATAATAATATTAAAAATAATAATACTAATAATACTCATACTAATACTACTAATACTACTAATAATAATACTAATACTACTACTAATAATAATATAAAAATAATAATAGTAATACTAATACTACTAATAATAGTATTAATAATAATAATACTACTAATACTAATAGTAATACTAATAATACTAATAATACTAATAATACTAATAGTAATAATAATAGGAATAATAATAGTAATAATAATAATGCAATAATACTAATACTAATAATAATAATGAAAAAATACAATAATGATAAGAAGGAGCATAGGAAGAGGAGAGGGAGGGAGGGAGGGAGGGAGGGAGGAAGATGAGGACCTGTAGGCAAGGCAAGGCCTGGCCAGGGTCAGCCATCGCCACGGAGTCGTCACGGACTACTCGAGAGCTGTTGTGGTCGCCCATCGTCCGATTCGCCCCCTCAGGTTCCCCCTTCCTCTCCCAAGGGATGCGCTGGAAGAAAAGGCAAGGTCTGGGGAACACGGTGAGCCCAGGCTTGGGAACAGGCTTGGCAGGTGCAGGGTCTCTTCACGCGGTCTTCGGACCGATTGCACATTGGGCCTTGGATCTTGGAACTTGGAGGAGGAGGAGGAGGAGGAGGAGGAGGAGGAGGAGGAGGAGGAGGAGGAGGAGGAGGAGGAGGGGGGGGGAGGGGGAGGAGGAGGAGGAGGAGGAGGAGGAGGAGGAGGAGGAGGGGGAGGACTGGAAGGAGGGGAGGAGGAGGAGGAGGAGGAGGAGGAGGAGGAGGAGGAGGAGGAGGAGGAGGAGGAGGAGGAGGAGGGGGAGGAGGGGGAGGAGGAGGAGGAGGGGGAGAAGGACGAGGAGGACGAGGAGGATCGACGACGAGCACAACGACGACGAGGGTCGAGGACAGGGGGCTGAGGGGGAGTAGGAGGGGGAGGGGAAGGAGGATGAGGAGCGGGACATTGGTGCCGGAGTCGAATTCCGAACCGCCACCCGCTCATAGATCACAGGGGGAGGGTGAAGGAGGATAACCAGAGCAAACGCAGGATGCATCGATAAAAGGGTAGGATGCTATGCTCAGAGGCAAGAGGCAACGATGTAGGGGGAGATAGAAGGCCCAGGGGGGAATGCTCCAGGTCTCCCCACTGGTGCCCCAGCAGACGGGGCGGAGGATCGCGCCGCATCGTCGATGCATGGATGCGCTGGCGGAGCATTTGCGAGCACCCTGCGCCCCAGGATTGAAGTTCGAGGTCTCTGGAGGTTGTCGCTTGTTCTTGGCGGTTTCGGTTTCTCGGAGGTTTTCGTCTGTCCTCGGCGGCCCTCCAGCCCCAGGGTGCTCGCCAGCAGCCGCGCCTCGCCCGCAGCGTGCCGGGCGGCCGCCGAAGAGCCGACTGCTGTCCCGAAAGCGAGGGTCGGCACGGACGAAATGGGTACGGAAAGCATGGACGCGATGCCCAGCAGCAGCAGGGCTTTCCCTCGTTTTGCGTCCAATCCGCCTTTGACGCAAAACGAAATCGAAACGAAAACGGCCCACGAAATCGCCCAAACACCGTTTAGGTCCACACTTGAACATCAGTCCCTGTTCATTTTGAGCAGGACTCGCTGTCCGCGCCGCCGCGGTCTGTGTCCATTTGAGACTGAAGGCCGCCTGCCCAACAGCGGCCGCTGTTGGTCTGGGACAACATTTGCTGTTGGGCACTGTGCCCCTTTTCTCCGTACCCTTTTTGGGCGTCCAGACAGGGGGGGCGCCGAGCTCTGGGGGGCAGGCGCCCACCGCCAAGCGTCCATTCGTCGCCGATGGGGGCCTTTGTAGCACACACCGCCCGTGATCGCGCGGTTTTGCTATCGGGGGCCTATCGCCGATCCATCGGCGATGCCTCGCCGATCCCAGGTCAAGGTTCCCCCCCCGTGAGCCATGGCCCCCTCGTCGTTCCCCCTCGACCCTACCTCAGCGTGTCCAGTCGGCGCTGGGGTATCGGACAACCCTGCTGGGGCTCACGTGGCTGCAGACATCCTTCGAATCTTGAACCCTGGCCAGCGGTTCAGAGACCCGACCTGCGGGAGTAGGAATCCCATATGGTTGCCAAACGATCGGGGACGAAGACTGGTGCGCCTCGGGTCGTGGTCGAAAGGTGCTCTCACTCCATGCCGAAGTATCTTCATGGTGACCCACGAAAGGCTACCCCCGTAGGTCTGATGACGGATCTCCTGGCTCTGCGTCTTGAGGACGTGGTCAGTCAGGGCTCGGTACTTGGCTTCCAGCACGCCGTACCACTCGAGCCCTTTTCCTTGAAGCCAGGGTCCTGGAGTGGGGAAACGGGAGTCCTGTGTCCCAGTCATGGTAATATCTGGCTACGCCGTCCAGCTCGTGCAAGCCATCCGCCGTCCATGAAAGGCTCGACCTTCCTCTGCGCTGGCTCTGTCGCATCCCTGGCGCCTGGGCGGCGATCCACTCGACGGCTCTGTCGCATCCCTGGCGCCTGGGCGGCGATCCACTCGACGGTCCTGCCGGCCTGAATCGGTCAGGCGGTGCGGTCTGGCCCCGTACTCAGGAAGTCAGGGCCCGGACAGGCTGGCGCCTCGCTCCTTGGCGACCCTGCGGCGTTGCCCAACGGCTGGCAGAGCACCGCGCCGCCCTGCCACTCTGGGCGACGAGCCGTGGCGCCGCGGAGCTTCGGCGCGCCGTCTCCCGGAGGAGCAAGCGCCGCGTGCTGTCCTCCGCAGCGCATGCACATGTCCATCTCGTGGATCGGGCAGTGCCAGGACGATCCGTCCAGCCTGCGCCTGACGCTGAAGCAGAAGTATAGTCCTTGGTCTATGGTCCGGTGCCGCCTCGGACCCTGTTCGACCGCTGGCCGAGATCTCGCGGCGACAAGGCAGTGACCCTCTGCGACGGGATGCGGCACCCGGGCACAGCGGCGGCCCTCCTGGCAGATCCGCTGGGCCGAGCGCCTGCTCGACCTGAGCCCTCGACCTCTGCGGCCACGTCGGGTGGACGCTGTGGAGCGGCCCCCTGTCCGTGCCCAGCGCAGCGCCCTCCTTTCCTGCAGCGGCTCGGCCCGGGCGTCGCGGCGTCTCGACGGCCTGGGTCGGCCCGTCGCGTTTGGCTGCGGCGGGAAGTGGTGGCTCGTCCGCGGCACGGCCGGTCTCGGCCCGTGCTCGTGCGCGGCGCGGAGGCAGCGCCGGTGGCTTCACGCGGCCGGCGGCCCATCTCCTTCGCCCCCCCGCTCGCGCCCCGCCCCGCGGCTCGGGCCGAGCAGGAACGGCTGCGGGCGGAGCCGCCGTTCGTGCCCGGCTCGCCCGTTCCTCGCCGTCCCGATCGGCTCCTCGTCGCCTGGGCCTCCTGCTGCTCCTCGGCAGCCTCGTTCATCAAGGTCGCCGGTCGTCGAAGTGCCCATTCTTTACCATCCTCCCATCACTCTCGTCGGCCTTGCGCTCCCTCTCCCCCCTCGTCCGCTCCTGATCTGCCCTGCCCAGGTACCGAGAGAGAGGGGAAGAGAGGTAGCGACAGACCGATCCTCGCGCACTCGAGTCCCCGCGAGCCCCTTGCGAGATCCGCGCGAGACGGTGCGCGCAGGCGCGCCCGGGCTGTCGGGCCTCGCCTGCTGGTGAGCGGAGCTGCTGCCACGTCTGGCGTCGGTCTCGCCCCCTGCTTAAGGAGGGGAAAAGACACACAGACACAATGAATCGTCAATTCCCAGAAAATCCGGGAAAATATGGGAAGTGGAGGGGAAAACAGAAACCCAGAAAATATGGGGAAGTATGTTTTTTTTGTTTTTATCTGTGTGTACTTATTTGTGTGTCCCAGGGCCCCTTCACTGCTTCGCTTCGGTCCCTGCCCGCGGGGCTTCGGCCTTCCCCGCGGTGCTCGGCGCCTCGCCTCGGCCGCGGCCGCGGCGGCGGCGGCGGCGGCGGCGGCGGCGGCGGCTCCGAGCCCCTGGCGGGGCCTGGCGCCTCTGAGCTCCGCCCTCTCCGTGCGCGTCGGGGGCCCTCTGAGCTCGCCCCAGCTCGGTGGAGGCCCTCCTCCTCCGCCTCACTCCACCCTCCCCTCTCTCCTCCTCCTCCTCCTCCTCATCCTCTCCTCCCCCCCTCCCCCCTCCCCTCTCCTCCTCTCCTCCTCCTCCTCCTCCCTCCCCCTCCCCCCCCTCCTACTCCTCCTCCTCCCTCCATCCCCTCCTCCTCCTCCTCTCTTCCCCTCCTCCTACTCCTCCTCCTCCTCCTCCTCCTCCGCCTCCTCCTCCCCCTCCCCTCCTCCCCTCCCCTCCCCCCCCTCCTCCTCCTCCTCCTCCTCCTCCTCCTCCTCCTCCTCCTCCGACGCAGCCTCCCCGACCGCCCGGGCCCGAGCGCTGCGCTCGCGCGCCAGAGGTGCCGCCGGTGCCCTCGCCCAAGGAGGGCGGCCGCGCCCGACTCGAGCACCGAGGGGGGCCTGCCACGACCACGTCGCCCGGGGCGGTCCAGTGCCCCACGGTCCGGCGCGCTCCCCACAGCAGCAGGGTCCTCCGTTTGGGCGCGGGCGGTCCTCCAGGAGTGCTCCAGATTTCGTAAGAAAGGGAGGGGGGTCTCATTTCGGGGGGGTCTCTTCCAGGCTATCTTGGAGGGCCTGGGGGGTCTGGGGACGATGTTTTGGAGGGTTCTCCCACGGGGGGGGGTCTGAAATGGCTTGTCTTGGAGGGTCCAGACCCCCTCCCTTTTATTACGAAATCTGGAGTGTACAGGCCAGCGGCGTGGGTCGAGTCTTGGACCCGCTGCTCCGTCGGGGCCCCCGGGGGATCGGCGGGAGACGTCCGGTGAGGTGCCGAGGCTCTTGGATCCCAGCGCCGCCCCCCGACTCGCTCTCCGCTTCTCGCCTCGTGCGCGGGTCCAAACTCACTCCGTTCGCGTTCGCCTCCAGCATGGCATCGATGATGGAGTGGCCTTCGCTCAGCGCAGCACGCGCCTGCCAGCCGAGATCGACCACGATCCTGAGCGCCCACGATCCTGAGCGCCCCTCCTTCACGGGTCATCCTCGTCCAGTAATGGTGTAGGAAGGCCCTGGCCACCTCCCGGACGCCCCCGACCATGGTGCGCTCGGGCAGCCTGAACGCGATGTCCTTGCGCTTCCCGATGACGCTCGCGCCCCGCTCGACCGAGTGGCTGAGGATCACGGGCAGCACGGGCGCGGGCCACCACGGTCTGGCGTAGCCGTCGCCCCGTCTGCGCCCCGCCGTCGGGCGGGGGTCGGCGTCCTCCACGACGCGCCCGGGTCGGCCACGTCCGCGGCCGGCCCCGCCTGGTCAGATGGTCCGTCGTCATGCGTAGCGTCGGGCTCGGACGGCCGTCGCCGCCGCCGTGAGCCCGGCGATCGTTCGTTCCCCAGCAGTCAGGAGCCTTGAGACGGGGGTCAGTGCAAACGGGGGTCAGCCAGGGCGCCGGAGCCTGCAGGATCCTGCGAAGACCCCCTCTGGCTGACCCGGGTTAGGGAGCCGCTCGTGGCCGCGAGGCGGCCGCGCCTATTGGCTGACCCGGGTCTGCGAAGATCTGAGTTGCAGTTTTTTTTTTCCTGCATGGCAGTTTGTGGTTTCCTGCTGACCCGGGTCTGGATTGACCCGGGTCAGAAGATCCCCGAAGTAGTCCCTTGTGCGCGCGCCCAATGGTGTCAGATGGGCTGACGCTCCCTCTCGTTTCACCGATGGTATCCTTCCCCGGAGGGTCTTGCACTGTTCGGTCGGCACGGACCCCTATCGCCTCGAGCGTTCCATCGATGCTCGTCAGGTGTTCATCCCGACGGGGATTCGCACGCTCGCTTTCGACCTTCTTCCGTCTCGCTTCCTTCGCCAATTTCCCTTTTCCTCATGCGTGTACATCGCACCATTCACGACCTGCCCTGTCCTGATCGTGATGTCGACTGCGTAGATTTGCCACGGGTCGCAGGACCGCCGCTTGCGTCCGACGCCTGGGCGAACGCTCGGTCGGTCGCAAGTGCAACGTCTTTGACCCGTTCGTCGGCCCGCATGTCAGGCATCGCTGCATGTACTGTCCGCTCTGAGCCAGGATGGCCAACGTCTGCCTTGCTCGCTCCGCGTTCACGATCTGATTGAAACCTTTGCAGGCGTCAACCAGCGTGAGGAAGATGCTCCCAGCGCATGCTGCAATGATCGCCTTTGGTTCCGCGCGTGTTAGATCGCGCGCTCGATCCGCGGTTTACCCTTCGGTAGTCCACGACGATCATCCTCTTCCGTTGTCGCTTTTGGGGAGCGATGCCCTTGGCGCAGAACGGCGGTGACGCCCGCGGGCTGTTGCCTCGTTCAAGCTGCCCCGTTTCGATCTCGTTCGCAAGCTGCTCGTCAACGAAAGCAGCTTCGTCCGCCTTCAAGTTGTACGGGGGTGTCCTGCACGGCGGCCCAGTGAGAATCACGCCTTGCGTAGGTGGTGTCGCAGCGTCGCCCGCCCAGTGCCTTCCAGCCACATCACCGACGCCTTCCACGTGAATGCTTCGCGCCCGCGGCTGCCATGTCCGCCTCGGAGAGCCCTTCCTTAGGCGCGGCTCCTTTCTGCAGCCCCAGGGCGGCAAACATTTGCTCTGCGTGCTTCGGTCCTCTCTCCAGTCGGTCTTGACCGCGCTCATCCCCGAGTACTGGTACAGTCGGGGCACTGAGGAAGGAACCTTTTCCGTTTGGGAGGGGCTTCGTGTTCCTCAGTTGTTGTGTTGTCTACCAGAGGGTTTCATCTGGTTCTCGATGAGGAATCGAAGTTTAATTTATGGGAACAAGGGGCCGCGTTCCTTAATTATCGTTCCTTAGGTCAACGCCCCAACTGTAAGCTTCTGTCGGGACCTCGATCGAGTTTTAGTTCTCGGCGGCGGCTCGCACGCTCCAGTGCCGATTCCATTTGTTGCGCGCTTTGCCTCGTGCTGGACTCGGTCGGCTTGCTCTTCCGCCGGCGTCGGCTGCTGATGCGCCGCGCCCTCCGCTGCCGGAGCCTCCGCCCGTAGCACAGAATACTGCACCTCTCCCGTCTCCAGAAGTGCAGCTGAACGACCATCCTGGGTGAGCGTCCAGAGCTTTTGGGCACGGGTCCTGCCCGATCGACACGGGCTCGGGCTTCCAGCCACCAGCAGGAGCCAGGCTTCCTCAGTCGAGTCGCTCACCGTCGCCCGGCTCTTCATCCTTCCCCTCGACCTCCAGGCCCTCGGCCGCGGCCGGGCCCGACGGGTCTGCCCGCAGGTCCGATGCCTCGGCCAGGGATCCGAAGCCTGTCCTGTCCTCTCCTTCGAGGTCCTCGCGGTAGACGGCGCCGGCGCGTCCGCGCCAGCGCCAGGGCCGTGGAGCCCCCCGCCCTTCTCGCACTCTCATGGGCGCTCTCCAGCCCTGGGATGCTGAAGATCCCGCGCGGAGGGCGGGCCCGCCACTCGCGGCACCGTGCGGGCCCCGTGGCTAGCTCCGTGAGCTCCGACGGCTGGTCGTGCCGAGCAATCTCGGAGCGCCTCTCCTGGTGGATCGTAGTTGTCCAGACGGGCCGCGACCGCGCAGCACTCGGCTTCCGCCTGAGTGTACTGGCCGGTATACTTCGCGATCCTGCAGAGCTTGCCTTCTCCGTCTCGGCAGTATTCAGGAGGGGAAAAAACACACAGACACAATTAATCGTCGATTCCCAGGAACATATGGGAAAATATGGGAAGTGGGGGGGGAGACAAAAAAAACAAAAATATAGGAAAATATGAGGGATATTGTTATTGTGTGTATTTATTTGTGTGTCCTGGGGCCCCTTTAAGTATCCTCGAGTGCGAAGATGGTGGTGAACAGTTCCGGCCAGCGGCGCGAGTGCAGCTGCAGCTCGACATTTGCCAACCAGCCTCGGCGCTTCTCCATGTTTTCTCCTATCGCGTTGCAACTCATCTCCTGTCCTCCCAAAACGCACTTAGAGTTCGTTCTTCCGTCCGATATTGCATGCCTGGCTCGCCGCCTCAGCAGTTTGAAGCTCGCCTCCGAATGCAGGCACGGAGGCATCGTGCGTGCAGGCTGGTCTAGTCTAAACTGTCTCAGACAAACAACTAACAAAGGGTGGGTAGTGCCCCCCCAAAAAAACGCACTTAGAGTTCGTGTCGTCCGGCGCGCCCACCCCTTGCTGACCAGCCGCGCTCTTCGTCAGGGTCCAGGATGATCCCTGCTTGTCGAGGTTCCGCTTCTTGGGAAGGAACTCGTCGGTCCACGGGCCTGACCTCCATGGGCTCTCGAGGCTCGCCCCCAGTCCGTTACTCTCCTGATGTTTCGTGCAGACTGCTGCGAATCGGAGACAACCTCTTGTCCGTTCACTCTGCCTCCTCCGACCGAGATGGCAGAGTTCCTCGCGCACCGGGCCCAGGTGCATCACTCTGGGCCAGGGCGCGAAGTCGATCTGGTCGGCGAGGTCAGCCACGTCAACCGGCTTGCCGAGATCCCAGCATCTGCTCGAGCGTTGGTGCACGATGTCCAAGGCCGAGCCAGTTTTGAGCCCCAGGGGGGAGCGCGCCGTCTGATGCCGCCCAACAAGTGCCTCGAAGTCTACGCCTCGTTGGTCTCGTTTCCCCCTCGCCCGAGGCTGAAGTCGGGCCTGTCCCTCTACAGGGGGAATATTCAAAAGTAGTCAAAACATAGTCGGGGGGCCTATAGTCGGGGGACCTATTTTTGGTGTAATCTTTTCTCTCCCAAAATCCGCTTGTAGGGGGACACGCCCGACCCAGCCCTTGGCGCAAGAGGTCCTATGGCGTGGTGCGAGGGCCAGCGGGGTCCTCTGCAGCAGCAGCTCGTCGTCACGGGCCAGGCGGGGCGTCCTCCTCGTCTCCCCCAGTCCCTGCCAACAGGCCTTAGTCGGGCGTGTCCCTCTACAGGAGGAACATTCAAAAGCAGTTGAAAAATAGTCGGTGGATGATTCGTTCGGCAATTTTTGATTTTTTCTTGACATTCTTTATTCTTCCTCCGAGATCCGCCTGTAGGAGGACATGGCCGACCTAACAATAGGCTAGGCGGCCGAGCTATCCTCGGGGCTCACGGCGCGAAGGCCTGGCGGCTATTCCATCAATTGCGGCGCGATGTGCTCCAGGTGCGGGGAGATGCATGCCAAGCGTATCTTCGCGACCTGCCGGAGCGGGTAGCTGATCGTCTTTCAGGCGCATCGGGCGGCAAAACCTGGGTCTAGTTTCGACGCTCGTGAAACTAGCGCCAGCGGGATCCCGTCATGAAGAGGTTGGACAGCATAGCCTTGCTCGTTGAGGATTCGGCTGTCGGCATGTCACAAGATGGCCTTCTTCAGCATCGTCACTGGCCGAATGATGTCGCGGTAGGCCACGGTGATCATCACTGGCTTGCTCGTGTCATCTACTTCTTCTGAAGGCATGTGCTTCCCATCTTGACAATGGCACAGCGGCCTCCATTTGGTTAGCAGGTGGAGATCTCTGATTGCCCTGTCCGCGTGAAACTCCACTTTGCTCCTCTCTTCCTCGATTTTTTCAGCAGTCCCAGTAACATCGGCTTTGAAGCATGCGAAGACGGCACCTGGTAGGCCATTTATCGAGGTACCCGGCGCAAGCCCATGCATCTTCCCTTTCGAGAACTTTGGCGTCATCTTCGCAGCCTCGGCTTCCTCGGCATACAGATTTGGCCGGGGGTACTATACTCGCAGAGTCTAATGGGGGGGGGTATGCTTTATTAGCCGGGGGTAGGGTCATTCGTTCGACCCCTGAGCTGCTCGGCCTTCGTCCTCCAGCATCGTTCCTGGCGATCGCTCAACTCCGTCGGGCCTTGCTGGCTCCGCCTGGTCAACGTGCCTTCCGAGCTGGCCTCGGGAGCCGGGGCGTACCATTTGGAGCTCCCGCGGTTTTGGTAATGTTCCTCGTTGCAAGCAGGACCCTCTCGATACGATAGGTTTGCGTCGTGTCGACCAGCGGCGACCCCAGCGCGGACGTTCAAGGTTGAACGCCGCCGGCGACCCAGAATCGATCGATGTTGAACGATCGGACGTTGCGGCAGCGGCCGATCGTTCAAGGTTGAACGATCCCTGCGGTGTCAAAAACCAACGCTGGGGTCGGCACGACACGAACCTGCCGTACGAACTCTGCTCTTTGTACCAACGGCCGCGTGGCGAATGTTCCAACCTCTTGACCGCCAGAAAGGGTTTCGAGCACCAGGAACGTATCGACATTGGAGGGATTTCGCGTGTCGGGCCCTGGGAGGCGATAC